TATCTACCCGCTCTACTAAATCTTCTAATATTTCTTAATATGGTTATATGCAATCCCAAACAAATATGCAATCGATCGCCAAATATGATCATAATCATCGATCCTATTCTTTTAATCGTTACATTTTCCTCCACTTAGCTTGTTCATTCTACGAACTTCATCAAATCCTCCAGGATCAAATATCTTCGAGGCTGATCGAAGCAGAGATAAGTACTGGGATATTTCTTTATTTATGGCTGTATCCTCATGGTCATCAGAATTCGAATAACCTAATTCTTTACTAACTCTCTCTGAAGACCTTTTGTTTCTTTCGACTTCAATTCCTTTTCGATATCATCCTTTCAGGTTATCGTGTCCATCATCAACAAATTTCAATTGCCATTTGAATACTTTAGTGTTTTCGGTCCTAACTTCTTTTTCGTAATGATCTCCAGCCAGATATGTTTCATCAGCACCACCTGACTTTGCTGATCTTTGATAATAGGCGAAAGCCTTATTCTCATTATTTTCTTCTACTCCAATTCCATTTCGATACCGGTCACCGATATGCTTCGTATCTTCTTCAGGTTCTTTTTTGGTGCCAAATTTAGTTGGGTTATTGTTCTCTTTATGTAGATCAGGTTCGTTTAGATCTTGTACTTTAAGACTTCTGGCCTTTTTCTTGAACACCTCTACCTTCTTTATCCATATTTCACAGGCATAGTTTAGGGCATCGTTATCAGTGAATCTTTTAAGTCTTTCATTTTCTGCTGATTCTTTATTCTCTGCTTTATAATTATCCCTTTTAACTCTAATTTCATTGTTTTCACCAGTGTGATCCACTTCGACAGGTATTTGGAGATCCACTTCAACTTTCTTTTTAACTTCTACTCCATTTCCTTTCTCATAATGATTTCTATCTTTATATGTTTCATCAACATGCCTAATTTCTGCTGATTTTTGATAGTGAGTGAATGCTTTATGCTCTTCTTTTCTTATCTCGGTTCTGTTTTGGTTGTGATGTCTAGAGTTACTAGAGTTATGGATTTCATAATTTGTTTTGACCAATTCTTGATGACATATGAGCGCTTCATATTCATTTTTGGCTTCAATTACTTCGTCTTTTTCAACTCTAATTTGTTTGCTTTTCCAACTTCCATCCGTTCATTTTTTTCAACTCCAGTTCATTTGTCTTTCTCAATTCCAATTTGTTCAGCTTTTTTAACTTCCATCCATTCATCTTCTTTATCGTTCATGGTTACATTTTCTAACACTTCCAAAACAAATTCTAGAGCCTGGGGAATTTGTTTATCGCTGATTTCTAAATTTCTAAATTTTTTATCGATGATTCTTTGGACCCTCTCAGCTTGTTCTTCGGTAAGTGTTGTGAATAGTTTTGCACATTTTTTTTCTAACTCTTTCACATTCGGATACGTATTTCTTTTCATTTTATTCTCTTAAGTCTTTGTCCTTCTTTTTCGACTTCTGTATGGGTTTTTATAAACAATATTAATTTCTTTCTGATAGTTTTGCTTGTTTAACTCAAGGCTTCAGATTTCTCTCTCCGTGTTTTGTCTTTTTCTTATTCTCACTTCGATATGCCTTGGTTTCCGTTCAGTCGTTTCTTGATAAATTTCATACATTTTTTTTTTTTTTTGGTAAGTTTTATTTCTTCTATCGAGATGCCAGAACACTGGTAACCTGGGCTGGATTTGGTTCAGATTTCTTCAAGACTAATTCTCGTAGTTTCAGTTTTTTCAACAAGATCTGAGGTTTAGTTTTTGTTATAGTTTCCAAGCGAGAGGTAAGGCTTTTATACTGTTTGACTAAAGTCTGTCACTTCGATAATTTTTCTGGCTTGACTTTAAAGTTTATTTGTCGATCGCTAATGTCTGTTATTTAGATAATTTTCTCGGTTTAATTCAAAGTTTGTGTCGATCCCTATACTAAAGTCTGTCACTTAGACAATTTTTCCTGTTTATCAATTTTGACTTCAGAGTTTATTAAATTTATCGCTTTTAGTTTATCCTGAACTTCTGCTTTACTGTTTTACTTTATGCTTGGCTTTGTCTTTAAACTATGCTTTGACTTTGCCTTTTTACTGTACTAGTTGTGTCCTTAAAGTGTTCTTTAACTACTTCGTGGTTAGTTACTTTGTTTCCTTAGTGCCTTTTTCCCAATATGTGCCTTCTATATTTTCCTTATATTGAGTGAGGTACGGACGAATCTCATAGTTACCACCAAATGTAATTAATCTAAATATACCACCCTCGTAAGAGGCGTGGATTTGGCCAGTAAACGGTTTATTACTAAGGTGAGATATCCCAATCTGCCTTTATATATAAACAAATACTATGTATATATCCCTTAATATGTAGACCAATGCAAGCAAATTTGCATGAATTTTTGCACTTTTTTAGCTCTGGTTTACTTTTTTAAAATGCTAAAATATTTAAATAAAACTTTGCACAATTATATTTGAAAATAAGGATTACTTTTTTGC